AAATACCCATTCAATAGAATGCACAAAAATATTGTACCTGATGCACATTTGTGTTTGTGTGGTTGTACTTTACTGATTTTGTTATTTTATATATTATATATTTTTCAACAATAAATAATATAAAAATTATAAATAAGATTATTAACATATTAAATATAATTCGCTTAACCAAATAAATAAGATTAATTAAAATAAAAAATAAATTATTTCGATTAGTTAGAATAATTCGGTTAACCGAACTGGTTAACCGAGTAAACCATTTAATTATGTCCAGTTTCAAAGATTTTGAACAAAAGTTCGATCGTTTCAATCTGCACAATATAGACCGGCACCATGCACCATAGTGTTGGACGAATTGCACATCAATAACTGTTAGGTTGCACATTATATTTCGTTTACATATATATCATTATTCTAATAAAAAAAATACATATAATATTTAAAAAAAATATTAAAGATTAAACAAGTTTGTAGAATAAATAATATAATTTAGTTTGTTTTGTAGAAATCATTAAAAACACTTGCGATGCGAGTGCACAATATTGTTAAACAAACTGCACATTAACGACAATCGGAATGCACAATATTAAATCTGGACATGAAAATAAAAAATACATTGTTATGTTGGTGTTCGTTTTCACAGATTTCACAGATATTAAAATTTTAGTTATTATTTATATTTTTTTTTATATATATTATGTATTTTCAGCTAAAAGTGGTATAAAATATTATATAATAATATTAAAATAGTAAATATATTTTTATAATACAAATAATAAATTATTTCGATTATTTCTTTTAATTCAATTATCCGACAAAATAAACCAATTATTTTGGTACAAATTTAGCTTGTTTTGGGACAAAAATTCCGTCGGTTCAATTTTTTGTTTTTTGTTTTTTAAATTCGACTCGGTAGTTTCAATTTTTTTGGCGTTCGCCAAACCGACCAATAAACATTCATAAAATGCATGGTAGCATTTTGGTAAATTTGGATAAATTTATGATTCGATTGTATGTAATTTTGTAAATTATAACGGGATTTTTTAAGGTTATAATGTGCATTTTATGTATTAATATTGTTCATGTATTTAACTTTTAGTAAATTACAGATTTACCTCATGTACTAATTTGTAATATATTGAAATTTAAACTGTATAAGAATATTATTATTGTTACTATTATTATATTTTTATGCTCTGAAATTGCACAATTACGTTAACGAAATGCACTTTAATGACTAATTGATTGCACAATATGGACCAAACTCAACGAAGTTAAAATTTCCAGTAGATGTTTGATGTGCATTTAGTATTTTTTTATATGGTTTTCAGATTTACTATGGGCTAAATTATAAAGACATATTAAATTTTTAAAAATTGCACAAAGGCCCCTATACAATGTGTAATTCACAAAAATCCAACCTAAATATCCCCCCAATACACAGCCAGATCCGGTCGTCTGAACCGTTGTCGAGCCGCCGCCTGCCTTCTCAGCACAACACCACCCGTGACGACGGCAACCACCAGCAGCCGCCGGTCATGACCCGTCGGACTATGGCCGAATAGGCCCCAAATTACAATCCCTAAAAAATCCCCCAATTCTCACCATTGCCAACTCCCCGCCGCCCGGAGTCCACATCAGCCCGCCCCCACCGCTGCCAGCCTTCTAGGACCACATCGCCGCCGGCGATGACAACAACGGCAGACGACAACAGCCGCGACAACGACACCAAGTCAGTCCGGTTGATTGCTGTCACCTTCTCCATCTCTCACCGGACTGGTGTCGCCGTGGCGGAGGACTTGTGTCGGCGGTGGTGGATTTAATTGTTGGGGGCTCGAGCAGACTCCGACGCCGGCGGAGGGTATAGATGCATCTGTGACAACGGCGGATCTACACAGACGATGGTTGGTTTCTGCCGGAGCATCCTTGGTCGCGTCCGTCTCCGGCGATGGGCTGTGAAGGCGTTGCGGCGGTTTGCAGAATCGCGGCGGCGGTGCTCTGCCGCTGAGGAGGCGACGGTCGGCTTCTGCGTGTGTGAGTGGAGAATTGTGTGTGTGTATGTGTGTGAAGAAGGTGAATCACGG